CGAACTAAAACATTGTATGTTCCTTTCGGAGAGTAATCAAGTGTTAAAACATAAAAACACAACATTTTAAACTTATACAGAAATATTTATATTTAATAAAATTTATTATTTACTTTTTTATATAATGATTAAAATAAATTATTTAATAATAAATAATTAAGATAAAAAATAAATTTATAACTTTTATTTTTATAATGAATGAATATCTTTTTCTTATAATTTATATATAAAATTATTATATTTAAAAAATAAATTAATTTTATTGATATAATTTAAAATATTTAATTATTTTGAATTATTTTTTATAAATAAGTTATATATATACATATATATATATATTATATTTTCAATCAAAACAAAAAATAACGGATGAATTAGGTAAAAAAATTATTTTAAGATACTGTTAATTTATTTTATTTATAAAACTAAACTAGATTAAATTAGATAGTCTGTGGGAAAGTTAGAGTATAAATTTCATACAAATATAAAATTAATTGTAATTAAACAAAACAATACTTTATTAAAACAATATATAAAATTGCCTATACAAAGGTGTTAAAATTTTGAAAATGAAAACAAAAATATCTATAACTTTATTTTATTTGTATAATTAATACAAAAATATTGAAAGAGAAGTACACCATTAATTTTCTATTAAATGTAAAAAAATCAATCAAAGCTAAAAATTGCATATATTGTTTTATATATATAATGTGAAAGTGTTGGTGGAAAAAATTGAGATATGAATCGAAAATGAATAGAAGAAATTCGATAACTATGTGCTGGGGAAAATCGAGATATGAATCGAAAGATGGATAAATCGAGATATAGATTGGAAAGTAAATAAATCGAGATATGAATCAAAAGAGGATAGAGGAAATTCGATGAATATGATTGGGAGTAAAAAATCAATAATAAGTATCGAGTGTTAAGTTAAGTTTGGGGGAAGTCAGAGACAGTTTAAAGTACTCGATGTCTGGAATCGAGATCGAGGGAAACAGTTATCGTGGTGCACATGAGTAGTGGTTTCTAAACCGTTCTTAGGGGGTTATGTTGAAGAAGGCTATAAATAGAACGTGAAGAAGGAAGGGAAATTTTCAGAGGTATTAGAAATCTATTGTACAAGTCTACGGGAGAACGACGAATCATGGAGTTTCTGGCAATCTTGATTTCTACTTTTATCGACTTTTGTTACCGCTTTCTTTTACTTTTCCTGGTAATTTATCTTTAATGCAAGTTAAATTTATTTTTTTGTACTTTCCAGTTATTTCAATTCCTTGTCATTTACTCTTCTGCAATTTAAAATTCTGCATTAATTTTCGTATATCTTTTAACGCTTTCTTTCCTTTCTTGGTAATTTATCTACTTGCAAGTTAAATTTACTTTTCTATACTTTTCAGTTATTTCAATTACTTTGTCATTTACTCTTGTGCAATTTAATATTATGTATTATTTTTTTGCCTCGACATCTTTTTACTACTTTCTTTACTTCTGCGATTTTTATGTTCTCAAGTCTCGGTCATTAAAAAATACAAAAAAAGAACTTTTATTTTTAAGTGTTTTGTACTTAAATTTATAGCTTCATACATTTTTTTATTGAAAAATTTTGTTTGCTAACCTAAATAAAAAGAACTTATGATTATGTTGAGATAAAAGTTAGAAATATTTGTATAAAATTCAATGTTTTATAGTTCTAAAATTTAAAATAAAAAATAAATGTTTGTTACTTTAAAGATAAAAGTATTTTTGAAATATTTTCACTAACATAACATCTAAAGAGGTGCTAAATTAATACAAGTCAAAAGTATTTTTGAAATATTTTCACTAACATAAAATCTAAAGAGGTGCTAAATTAATACAAGTCAAGGCAAAAAGTCATGTGTCACAAGATCCGTCTCTATTCTTGATTAAGATTTTATTTACTTTTAATTTTTTTTTTCGTTCTCGATGATAAATAATGAAAATGAAGTATCAAAAAGATGTTTTAGATAGTTAACAATGAAAGGAATGGAAAATGCAAAAGGAAAGATGGATGATGGAATTTAGTTTCATTTTTAATTGAATTTTTTATGCTTTAATTTTATTTTGAGTTTCTAAAAAAAAAAGTCCATTTTATTTTTTATTAAATTTCGATAAAACACAATGTTTTACCATTTTGATGTTTGGATTTTTAATTATTCGACCTCAAATGCAATGCCCCACTAAACATTCCCAGTAAATAAAAGCAACAAAAATGCAGATCTCTTAAGAAAACAAAAAAGTCCGATCCAGGCCCATAAATCAAACCTGAAGATAAAACTAAAAAAAAAAAAAAAGAGGGATTGCACTGTGAAAACAGAACATCACAGGAGAGAAACACAACAGAGTCAAACAATGATGGAATTTGATGTAATTTAGAATGAGAGGGTTACTAACCACACCCGTGATCATTAGCTGTTGAAGGCTTCAATGTCTGAAAGTAGCTAATTCCTTCCTTTTCCGTTGGGTTTTGAGTCAATTTATTGGCACAATCAAGGAATTTATAGGAACTGGTAAGCACATCAAGTAATTAATTCCTTCCTTATCCATTAAGTATATGAATTAACTTATTAAAAAGAGTTTTTTTATTACTTTTTAAAATCTGATTTTTAATTCAAGTTTAACTTTTATGAAAAATGACTTTTTTAGTGATACAAAGTATTGTTTAAATAAGAGTTATACATATAAAAGAAATTATTTAAATATTCATATATCTTAAGTTAAATAATATATAAATACAAAATATTCTATTTATAATTCTTTAATGAGTGGACTCAACATGGGATAACATTTAATTTAATTAATAACATATAAAAGATAAATAGTTTACTAGAATTTAAAATAAAGTAGGATTTAATTGAAAATTGAAGATAACAACATATTACTAATAATTAATAAAATTTAATTTTGTATTGTAGCAGTATTTTTTACAATTTAAGATGAAATTATAATTTATTTAAACTTAAATATGAAAATAATAATATATCAGCAATAAAAATAAATTAAATTTATAAAAAAAAATGCACAACTTAGAGTACACAATTCAGAGAGTCAAGTTTTTATTCAGTCTTTCAATTAGACATTATTAATATTCTCTTCACTCATTATTTTATTTTGTTCTGTTAAGATAAATATTAATTAATAAGCCAAAACAATTCTTTCCCAATCATGTCATATTAAAACTTTTTTTCTATCTTTATTTAAGTGTATTTAATCTTTTTTATTTTGATAATATTTATTATACTTTATAAGTTGAACATTTTTATTTATTATGAATTTTATTAATAAATATTTAACACATTTTGTCCTTTACTTTTTTATACTGGACATGGTATCAAGTCCAATTTTTAATCATTAATTATATTTAATAAAATATTTTAAAAAAAATGTATTTTTCAATTTAAGAAATAGAAAATATCTTTTTGATAAAAATACTTTAAAGAGATTTAACATTAAAAAAATGTTCAATTATATTATTGATATTTGAAAATAAAATACTCGAAAGTAATTTTCATGTAATCAAATAATAAAATAAAATAATAGAATAAAATTTATCAGACATTATTTATTATCTATTAAACTAATTGGTATAAAATTTTAATCTTTTAATTTCAAGAGCTCTATCATTTATAATACATCTACTCACTCAAATAAAAATTCCTTCTGTAGAGGATGTTTATTATAATCTAGTGAAACCTCCCATATAAAAATGATAAATATGAATACCAAATTATCATACAAGCATTAAGGTGAAAATATTTGGTATTCAAATAATCTCAAGATTATACACATATTTGAAAACAACATAATACGTTGCAAATGAGTAATAGAATAATTGGGTTTGTTACTAACCTTTTGCGTGTGTTTGAGGAAATGAGGGATACCCTAAGTTTAAGAGACACTTAGGACGTCTTAGGTTGATTTTTTTTTCTTTTAAATAAAATCTTAAAATAACTCTAAAGTGTGCTTGATTGAGTTTTGTGAGTTTTTTGGAAGGAAACATTTCTCAAAGCTGAAAAAGACATTTTTGGTGCTTTCTTTTCAAATCTGAGAAACAAGACGAGAAAAAAGGTTGAAAAAGTGGCAATCTCATAATTAATTAAAATTCAAGCTTTTTAACCTTTTATTTTTATAAACCCTAGTTAGTCTCACTCTCCACCGTCTCACTCCATTATTGCAATTGCAGCATTATGTTGCTATTTCTCTTTTGCTGATTATGCTCTATCATAAATTTTAAATTAAATTTATAAGGATTAATAATAATAAGTAAAGTCATATTTTTAGTGATTTCCTTATTATAAAAAAAGTAGAATCACATAAATTAATCATATTATAATTAGTATGACTATGTTTTTATTGAGTTTTCTTACCATTGTTTTGAAATAATCCTTGTTGTTTTTGTTTTGTATTAATATTTTCCCATTCAGAGTATTTGGCATCTTATATTACTTTGATTTTATTTTAAAATTTTAAACATTATTAATAATGAAATTTTTTATACTTTTATATGTAAGTGCATTTAATTGTAATAAAAAGTGTTTAAGAAATAGTGGGAAAATCTAAGTAGTCAAAATCTATTATATATTATAAAAAGAGAAATTTCTATATATTAAATATGACTAATAAACTTAAACAATATGATATTTAAATCATGATAATGATTATGGTAATTAAATTGTCACATTGATATAATTACAACCACTAGAAGTGAATTTAGGTAATTTTGGAGGCAGTAAAAAAAGAAGAAGTAAGTTTTGATATACTTGACTGGTTAAAGCTAAACTCAAGAACGTGACGTAATTGGATTTTGGTAAATGGTTGTGTGAGATTGACTTGTCATCAAACTTCACTAAACCAGAAATTTTGCAAATCCATCTCCTCCAAGTCACCACATTCTTCTTTTTCTTCTTCTTCTTCAATCTTCAATCTTCTTCAGCATTGTTTCTTCAAAGCAAATCCACACTCTGTTTGTTGGCCACTCAATGTTCAAATCTGTCTCTCTCTGTTGTTGCTGAGAAGAACCCATCTCCCTTTCCATCTTCAAAGTGTTCCTGTGAAACCCCGTTGCCAAGAAACCTCCCACAACTACTTTCCGCTGTGACTTCTCAACCTCACCTTCTTCTTCTTCTTCTTCTGTCACAATTGACTTCCTTATAATAACACTTACTGTCCTTGTTTTGTAGTTCCAGCTTCATCACCGTCACATCCCTTTTCGCATCCTGCTATCCAAAATCATTTCCTTTCTGGGGGCGCAAAAATGGGTATGTGGAAATTGGGGTTTATTTGTGCCTATTTTCTCTTTACAATTGGCGCTGTGGAGCTGGGCAGGAACCAACCAACTGAAAGAATTTCAGGTTTTTTATTTTGCTGATTTTGGTTTTTTAGCTTCTTCCTCCTCGTGGCTTTAGTTTGGTTGTTATCGATTAATTCAGGTTATGTTTCGTGTTGATTTGACTGCTTTGTATTGCGGTTTTCAATGTTGTGTCTGTGGTGTGGTTATTGTGAATGAGTTTGACTAAGATCTGCTTTTGGTTGAGGTTGATTAGGATATTTGTTGCATGAGTTGACGACTTAATTTTGTTTGTGATGTTATTTTTTCAACCACAAAGCATTGCTTCTTTAGCATTGAATTGAACGTGGTTGGTTATTCTAAAGATCCAAAATTTGAAGTACCAAGCCTTTTAGTTAGTATTTACTGTAAAGTCTGAAATTTGTTAGTTTCTTGTTTCAATGTTCAATGCCTGTGATTGGGTTAAGGGTTTGGATGATAAATAACTGCATAGGTTGTGTTCTTTTTCATGATAATGCATGCCAAATGACGCCTTAGGATTATTAATGGGTTGTGTTTGATTTCATTAGAAGATCGTTGTACGTTGGTAATTTTGTGTCTATAGACTCTCTTATTTCTATAGTTTGGCAATCTGATATACCCAAAGCCATACATCTCTTATATAGGCGTAAATACAATGTACAGTAAAACACATTTTTAAAGTAGGTTTGCAGAATCTGGGGGGTTTTCCTGCTGGCTTCTGAACTTCAATTTTGATAGTGGAATACTGTAATCAAAACGTGAACATTTCCGTTGCCTCCCTCTCTTTTCCCAAGAATTAAAAGTAAATTATTCTGTTTACCGAAAGAAACTTAATTAAATTTAAAAAGAACTCTACAACTTGCAGAATACCTCACTTCTTTCCTTGCCTTTTGAGCCTTAATAGGCTAGGAAAGGGGAAAATGTTAGCCAATAAATGAATGCAGCTCCCTAACGGAACGTCTTTAAATGTTATGAAGAGATCAATTACCTTTAAATGTATTGATTTTGAAAACATAGAATCAGTTTGAAAACATATATATAAAATAACGGTACATCTTTTTTGTCCCTCGGGATTTTAAGGTGTTAATAAGCAGTCTTTTGTGCTACAATGAATTACATTAAGCAATTCTATTCCTGGAGATAAACTGAAGTCAAATACACTTTTTGAATCTGAAGTTATAAGCATGTTGGGGTTGAACAATTGCAGGTAGTGCTGGTGATGTATTGGAAGATGATCCAGTGGGAAGGTTGAAGGTTTTTGTATATGAACTTCCAAGTAAATATAATAAGAAAATTCTGCAAAAAGATCCGAGATGCCTCAACCATATGTTTGCTGCTGAAATCTTTATGCACCGGTTTCTCTTATCTAGCCCTGTCCGAACCCTTAATCCTGAAGAAGCTGACTGGTTTTATACTCCGGTATACACCACTTGTGACTTGACACCAAATGGCCTCCCTTTACCCTTTAAGTCACCACGAATGATGAGAAGTGCCATACAGCTTATTTCATCAAACTGGCCGTATTGGAACAGGACAGAGGGGGCAGATCACTTCTTTGTGGTTCCTCATGACTTTGGGGCATGTTTTCATTACCAGGTACAAATTTAGTGTATGATTTTTAATTTTCATTATTTATATCATTGTTTGTGACTCAGTGTTACTGAAGTATCACTTTATGCTATATTGGAAGTACCTTGGGTTCTAATATTAATGCTACACATGGATCATGTAATATGCACTTTTATTATATATTTATATTATTTTGTTCCAGGAAGAGAAGGCAATTGAAAGGGGGATTCTTCAACTGCTACGGCGTGCTACATTGGTTCAAACATTTGGACAGAGAAATCATGTATGCTTGAAAGAGGGCTCAATTACCATTCCTCCATACGCTCCACCACAGAAAATGCATACCCACCTAATCCCTGATAAGACTCCCAGGTCCATTTTTGTATCCTTCCGAGGACTTTTCTATGATGTTGGCAATGACCCTGAAGGTGGTTACTATGCAAGGTAGGCCTCATTACAAGTTTAAAGGAGTGGGTCTGAGTGTGTATCCTTTATTTATTTCATGTTATAACTGCGTAAGAAAGCTGATTTACATTCTTTTACTGAAAATGCAATGAATAATGCTTTGAATAATTTTGTGTAACTATAAAAACCTGGTCAATCATATGAAGATTAACTGCATTCATGACCTAAATTTGGTTTTTTTCTAAACTTCTAATTGGAAATCAAGTATGCTTTTAGTTTGGTGCATCAGTGTATTCAATGATGCTTTCATAACAAAACAAACTTGTATAAAAAAATAATCCCGATTGATCGAACTGGCCATGTTCTGCAATCTTGCAGAGGTGCAAGAGCAGCAGTGTGGGAGAACTTTAAGGACAATCCTCTTTTTGACATCTCCACTGAGCATCCAACCACGTACTATGAGGACATGCAACGAGCCGTGTTTTGCCTATGCCCACTTGGATGGGCTCCTTGGAGCCCAAGATTGGTAGAGGCTGTGATATTTGGTTGCATACCTGTGATTATTGCAGATGACATTGTGTTGCCATTTGCTGATGCAATCCCATGGGAAGAGATAGGAGTGTTTGTTGCTGAAGAGGAGGTTCCAAAGTTGGATACCATACTCACATCTATCTCACCAGAAGTCATACTAAGGAAGCAAAGATTGCTTGCTAACCCTTCCATGAAGCAAGCAATGCTTTTCCCACAGCCTGCTCAACCTGGAGATGCGTTCCATCAAGTTTTAAATGGACTGGCGCGGAAGCTGCCACATGACAACACTGTGTTCTTGAAACCAGGGGAGAAGATCTTGAATTGGACTGCTGGACCTGTAGGTGACCTTAAACCTTGGTAACAATTATATGACTTTTCTGAGACCATTATAGGATTCTTTGTATTTCTTGCTCAATCCTCCCAAAGTGTTCATAGGGGTTGGTAATTGAGATTCCTTTCCTTTTCTTTATTTTTTGTATTGTAAATTTTGATATTTTCATAGATAATTCATTAGATCATATAATCCATTTTGCAATATGATTGAAGTCTCATAATATACGTAAGATTTTTGTTTCCTCCTATAATAGAAGATCTGTCGTCTTATACTTCATGCTAGATTCCGTAAATTGGGTGACACTGGAAATTAAAATTCATACTATTTTTTTTTTCAGTGTGTGGTGACTTACGTTTCTTTTTTCAAAATTTTGCATGTATTCTCGTGCAGAAACAGTTATATTTGAGGTAGATGGAATATTAAATGTTGATACTTTTACACAGAATATTTAAATCTTGGTTTGGTGATAGAAGCTAGCGCTTATTGCTTCTGTTTTGACTTAGATTCTAACAAGTCAAACTACAAAACCTAGTTAATTTTAGAGCTTTATCAAAGATTTTACATTTTCCCTTTTTTTAACTACGTTGACGACAATAAAAGAAACTGATTTCTTTTTGTCCCATAAAATCTCAAGTTTGATGATATATATCATTTACAAAATGAGTATTTATTTTTAAAACTCATGATTCAAGCATCGTTATGAAATATGATATATCTCAACTATGTTGATACACATTGCCCTCATCAATCATATGCTTTAACATGAAATTCATTAACCAAAACAAGAAAACAAGAGAGAATGAACGAGGGATTAGGTCAAAACTCATATACAGTCAAATAAATATGTATTCAGGTAACATGTACCTATTCCGAAAAATTTAAGACAAATGTTAGCAGGTAACAAATCATATCATGCAAATCTTCCTATGAACTAATCTTAAGTTGGCCAATTTATCGCCACATCTAATTCCCTCTCTAAAGATATGCGTGACATGACTTTGCATCCTCTTCTATAACGCCAAACTTCTATATCATCTCTCTTTAAATACGCACAACACAATTTTGTCTTCGGTGAAAGCAAAAACAACTAAGATAGAATTCGTTTCAATCTACAACTTACTTCAACCTCTAACAAAAACATTTTCAATGCAAAGCAAAACTGCAACTTGAGTTTAGCATAAAGAACATTATGGACACCAAAAAATGTAGAAAATTATCTCATTTACTTTTTATTACAAAAGTTGACAAAGACACTAACAAAACTGTGCAAGTTCCCCACAAATTCCCCAAAATACAATATGAATTTTCCGAATAACTTAGAAACTAACAAATAAATCAGGATAAAAAGAATGGAGAAAGAGAAAAGATGATAAATAAAACTGTATATTTAAAGGAGTGTAGTGATTTATTTATAAGTGTAATATAAACAACAAACTTATCTCCATATTTAATATCATGGTTGTGGCCTAAAATCGTACGAAATTGGATCACTTATAAGTTATAAGTTACTAGAACATATTCTAAGTTACGGAACATATTCTAAGTTACGGAACACGTTATATGTTATGCGATACTCCAATTTTACAACACTCCCTGGGAACCCACGAAACAAGTCCCCAGCACCAGCCAGTTCAAGAGATCCTCTAACAGTCCCATGAATATTACATTTAACCACTCTAAAATTCGATAATTTCCAGTTCAGTTGCAATATTTTAACAAAAGTTGGAGCATGAATATCAATACCGAAATGTTTGTGAATAAGAAGATCCCTCAAACTGCTATCAACCACACCCTTAGAGAACTATATTAGCTTTTATCAGAGATAATACATTGCCAAACATCGTTAAGAGTGTTAAATCTACACCGGTTTCTCATTTTCTCGAGGATCTAAGTGATGTTAATGACTGTAACAGTAATATCATCCTTGACCTGATAACTAAACTATCAAACAATGTATGTAAATCTGTTATCATGGTGAAAGAGGTAAGAAGACTAAAACCTCAACCAATCCCAGAATCGTTTGGCCATGGACAGAATAGAAAAATATGTTCCATGTTCTCCACATCCTTGTTACAGAGGCTACACCAAAAATTGTATATTTCCATCTTTGGTTAGACAATGAAAAAAAAATGAACTTTATGATTTTGTCAAAGTATTATCAATAAATATATATTATCAAAGTATGTATACAACTTTTAAATTAAACAGTTGAAGGATAATTTTGTCGTTTTTATTTAATATATTGATGGAAAACGAATTAAAAATATATGAAAGTAATAATTAATAATAATCTTTTTATTATTTATATGATTTGATATACGTCAAAGAATTTACAACGACAATAAATCACATCTTCAACCAACTGAACTAAATCAACACACTAAAATAGAGAGAAAACTTCTTCGTTTATATTTTTAGGATAATAGAAAATAGAAAATAAAATTACTTTTTTGGTAAGTTAAAAAATTAGATTAGATTTTAAAGAAGTTTTTTAAAAAAAATATCCTACCCATAAACTCATACGTAAACTAACAATATTTCACGTTTTATTATATATATATATTTTTTAAAAGTGGTTATACAAAAGTTTCAATAATGAATTAAAATTAAAGGTAAAATAATGTTACCCAGAAAAGGTTGAGGTGTTTTTGAATAAGTAATTAACCAAAATGAGATATAATTTAATAATTTGATAAATATTTCCGAATACTGATGAGCCGTCATGTTAATCAATTAATATATGATTCATGGCAATGCCTTTTCATTCCCCCAAATTTGGCTTTACAGGAAAGAATAGAAACCAGTAAAAAGTAAAATCATTTTATTTATTATTAATAATTTTATTGATTATTTATTTTAATTATTTAAATATATTTTTATCAATTATGTTCTTATAATATTTATTTAAAAATATAATCGATTGAGGTTTTTTTTTTTTTTTACTTTTTGCGCCCTTCTTCTTTCTCGATTCTTGAAATTTTTTGTGTTTGCCACGCATTTCTTCTTCGCCTTACGTGTTTCCATCGCCGGGAACAAACAAGCCATTAAGGTTCCTCATCTCATAAAAACTTCACAACTCACTCACACCCTTGTCTTCTTCTTCTTCTTCTTCTCTCATTGTACCTTTTCTGCTACAGTAAAACTGCACTTGCACCCTTGCATTGCACCATACCCACATCTTATCCTTATTTTCTTTCCCTTCCATTGCATCTTCTACCCTCAGTTTGCTCTGTTTGGGAGGAAGAATGGAACATAACAGTAATGGGGCAAAGATCAAAAGCACTATTCTTCACCATCTCTTTGAGAAGCAGAGACAGAGCCCTTACTATGACAATCTCTGTCGCCCTGTTTCAGATTTGCTTCCATTCATTGCCAATGGGATCAGAGGTCTCACTACCAATCCAGCGGTACTCACCTTTTTCTTCACCTCAAAACAATGTTTTTTTGCTTCAACTTCTATCTTTTTCTTCACCTTTTAATTACTGTACAATGTTCTCACATTGCAGATTTTTGAGAGAGCTATTTCATCCTCAAATGCCTACGATGAACAGTTGAGGTAGTTTTTAACTTGCTCTTGGATTCACAACAGATTTCTTCTTTGCAAATTAAGTCCTTAATTTTGTACATTACTTCTCACCAGATATAAATGGTCAGAACAATAAAAAATAGTTAAATTAATTAGAAGATCATAGATTTAAATTTTCTAATACAAATCTTATAAAATTAAATAATTTAAGTAGTAATTATATTTAATGATTACAAATGATATTTAATTACTTTTACTAAAAATTTTAGGTTATATCATTAATAGACTTACGGAATTAATACATTCATCCAGAATATGCAACTAATGTATGGTGATATTTCTTTTTGGTTGAGATAAAATATTATAAATTTGATTTGCAATCAAGTAGGAAATTGGTAGAGGCAGGGAAAGACATAGAATGTGCCTACAGGGAATTGGTTGTGAAAGACATACATGATACCTGCAAACTCTTGGAGTCAATTTACAATGATTCAGATGGGGTGGATGGATATGTATCTGTTGCAGTTTCCCCCAAGCTAGCAAGTGATACCAAGGGGACTATTGAAGAGGCAAAATGGCTTCATAAGATGGTTGGGTGTTCAAACGTTTACATTAAAATTCCTGCAACTGATGAATCCATCCTTTCTATGAAGGAGGTTATTTCTCTGGGGATAAGTGTAAATGCCACTGTAAGTTTGTTATGTGCATTCTCATGCCACAAATTTTGATCCTTAACAGCAGCAATATCCTCATAGTTTGTGTTTCTGAAACAGCTCATATTCTGCCTCCCTAGATATGAAGCAGTGGTTGATGCTTACTTGGATGGCCTTGAGGCTTGTGGCAGGACTGATCTCTCTAAGGTTTCTAATGCAGCAGCGTTCTATATCAGTAGAGTGGATACAAAACTTGACAAAAAACTTGAGCAAATAGGTACCTCTGAGGCTCTTGATCTCAAAGGAAAGGTGTGTAGAACTTTGTTTTTTAACTATTTGAGAAAACGTTTCCTATTTTAGTTGTAGTTTTCCCTTTTAATTTTAAAAATGCACTTTATTTCCACCTTATTTCTGTTTTCAGAAGTTTGTATAAGGTGGTTAACTCCTTTTGAGTCTGGGGTGTTTTGTCCTTTAACTTTTTGGCATGAAAATGTTACAACAATTCTTATAGGGTGCGGTTGCTCAAGCTGTCTTAGCTTACCAACTTTATCAGAAAAAGTTTTCTGGTCCAAGATGGAAACACTTGGAGAAGAGAGGTGCCAAGAAGCAGAGGTTGATGTGGGCTTCAACAAATGTGAAAAATCCAGCTTACCCTGACACATTTTATGTTGATTCTCTCATTGGACCAGATACGGTGAGTATTAGAGAAATTGTCATGTAGTTTCACACCATTACATGTCTATGGTTCTAACAATTTTTTATGTGACACTAAGTTGAGTTTTTCAACTTAGTAAAAGAAGACTTGAAGCTTGAGATTATTCATTATTAGGTTGCTGAAAAAACCTTGTCTTTTTATTTGGTGCATCTATAGATTTCAACCATAGCAGACCAAGCTCTTAAAGCATTCATGGACCATGGTGTTCTTTCAAGAACTCTTGATGCAGAAGTATCAGGGGCTCAAGACATTTATAATGCAATTGAGAAGTTGGGGATTGATTGGCGTTCTGTTGGATCAGAACTGGAACATGAGGTGCTGGGTTCTTTCACAAAAAGCTTTGACAATGTGCTTCAATGCATTCACAAGAAAACTCTAGTACAAGTCTAAGTCAAATGTGCTTTCATGTTAACCAGTTGTTTATGGGAGAAAACAGTAGTACAAAGTAAAAAATATTTGACACTTTCTTCATTGTGTGACAGTGGGTGCGTATGCATCATGCAATTGATGCTGTCCATGATTATAACTATGGGATACTTGGATTAGACAGAAAAATATTTATGTAATATAACATTTTCTTTTTTCAGAATCTAAATTGCTAAGGTAAGCACTAAAATATTTTCTCAAGGTCTTGCTTCTGATTATAAAGTTACATAATTATTATAATCTTTTAAACATGTATTTAATAAAGAAAATCACTTATTATTAGCATATAGACCAAAAATACTTGCCACTTTTCTTCCGTTACCTTCATGCCTGTGTGACATGGAATTGATATTCCCCAGTCTTTATTAAATTAAGTATTAAATAATTTTTTATTCTCTTTCAAAAAAATATATTATATTATTATTTTAAATTTAGATAGTTATAATTGATATATTTGATATTTATTATATTTTTAATATATATATATATATATATATATAAACCCTAAGAATATACATTATATAAATGTTGAAATGATTATTTTTGAAAGTTATTTATTTTAATGAGAAAATATATACAGTAATTATTTTATTCCTTTTCCAAGCTACTTGTGTTATAATTTTTTAAAAATATTTTCAATCAAAAATGTATTTTTTTCTTCTTCTTTGAGAATATACAATCAGGCATGTACGATCAAATAATATATATATATATATATATATATATATAATCTTTTGTTTTCTTTTTCTATGCCTCTACCAAAGGCTGATAAGTAATTAAAGTGTTGCTTAAATGTTTTTTTTTGTCTCGCTTATAATTTTAATGTCAACTTGATCTTAATTTTTAAATATTTATTATTATTGTTTTTTAAATATAAAATGTAAAAGAAACATATTATATTATATAGCTTGAGATATTATGTGTAAACAATATTATCGTAGGTAAGAACTATATATGATTACGTTAGATAAAAAAAATATAAAGATAATATTCATAAAAAAAAATAGACCTTAACAATCGTTTAAGGAAAAAAAGCATTCAATAGATAACATCTTATATTATATTATTATAATTGATTGTTAATTGGATGATTTTTTCTTGTTAAAATATAATCAATGTTTAATTTATATTTTATTTATATAAAATTAGATAACAACATTTGTTAATATAATAAATCAAATAAATTCTAATAATATCTTAAAACATAAGTTTCATCCTAAAGTAAGAAAGTGTTGTGTGGTGTGGTTGGGAGTGCCACGCTTTCCACGTAAGCTGGGAACACGTTTGCAACATCCCCTTCTTTCTTTCCACAACCATTCTCTTTCCTTCTTCTCTTATCTTCTTCTCTCTTTCTCTGTGATCCTCAACTCAACACACGCACACCTCAGCAGACAAGAATGGCTTTGCAGGCACCAAGTCTTCACTGCGCTCCCACCGTGAATGGTGGCCTGCGACGACCCTCCATGAACCCTTTTGCTCTCAAGTCTTCCTTCTTCTCTGGTTCACTCAACCTTTATCTTCATCCCACTCACCACCACCTCACTTCAGCACCACCCAGGATTTCCATGCGCACCGCTTCCAAACAGGCCTATATCTGTCGCGATTGCGGGTCACCCTTCATTTTTTTTCTTCTTCTCATTTTCAATATAATATAGAGAGAGAGAGATGGGATATAATTGATATAAATTAAGTTGTTGTTTTGATGCTGCAGTTTTATGGTTTTTGCTAATGTTATTGTTGTTGACTGATGCAGGTATATTTACAATGACAGGACTCCCTTTGAAAAGTTGCCTGATAACTACTTCTGCCCTGGTAATTGCTCCTCACTACTAAGACCTTACATGTTTTTCTTCTCAAACTTCTTTAACAAGTGACAACTGTATCTTCCAAGAATGACTTGGTATATCTTTGGATGGAAGTTCAGGGAGTTTAAAGGGATTTTTCTGTTTGTTTAGACATCTTATTCCTAAAGATTTCTTGATTCTTTTTCTTTTTCATTTGATGTATTAAAATTTGTTATTTTGTCTTGAAATTTCCAAAAATACTTCCCAAACTTTAAAAAGTGCCTTTTTATGTTGTTCATTCATGATACGTGTTTTGTAAAAACAATATTAAAAATTTGGTTTAATTTATAGTACTAGTATATCATAATTTAATAAAAGTTGATCATATTAGTACATCCTTCTATTCATTAATATGATGTGATGTTAACGTCAATTTTTTCTGAATATTAGAAAGTAGAGATAGTGGTTAAAAATTAAGTTCATAATATGAAAATATGGGGAGAGAGAGAAAAAAGATGGTTCATTGGCCATATCGACGTTATGTGGATGAATATGTGCATTTCAATCTTGTTTTGCAATTGGATACCAAAATTAATCATTTGATTCCTTAATGAGTTGGCCTCTTTGTAAATTAAAATGCCAGTGTTTTAGATTGATGTTAGAAGATTGAGAATCATGTTGAAATACTAGCTAGCATAGTTTAGGTAAATATTTATTTGTTTGTTGTCTTGAGAAATTGGCACCATGTCTAACATTGATTTTGCATTAAAACAACTCTGTTTTGTTAGATAAATTTTTACTTTACAATCAATTTGTTTTTACCATAAAAAAGATACTCAATTATAAATTACACAACCTCAAAGTCTATTTTAACAATTTTGCAAAATCAAATTCATAAATACTTACCCTAAACACACTTCTGAAGAGATAAAAACATGTGGTTATGGAATGGCAGTTTTTGTCAGAATTTGGTAGAAGCAAAAACAGAAGAATGGAAAGTTGGTAAAAGTGCATTATCATTGCCATAAAAAAATAGTGTTTTGCAGTTTGTGGTGCTCCAAAAAGAAGATTTAGGACCTATTCACCAGCTGTCAGTAAAGATGCCAATAGCACAGCAGTTAGAAAGGCACGAAAAGCTGAACTACAGAAAGATGAAGCAGTTGGGTGAGTCATAAATCTTTATCTGTTCTATGTCTTTCATTATATCTCCAACCATTATTTTGGCCTTAACATCGTGCAATAAATTTTGCACAGGAAAGCACTTCCTATAGCAATTGTGGTGGGAATTGCAGTGCTTGCTGGATTATATTTCTATCTGAATGCCCAATACTAGGCTGAATGAATGTTTGATTGCAGTTCCCTTTAACATGGGGTGTAGTTTATGCCTTCCTGTGCTTTCCTTTTCTGCCTTTTCTGTTGCTCATTCTATTCTAAGCATCCAGAATGACCATACAATAAATGGTACAATTATTTTGGGAGAAGAATGCTGATGTTTATCAACCCTGGAGGGTGAAGGATGCAATGCAATGTAGTTATAGAGGGGAGAATTGATTGATTGACATTAACGTGATAAGATAAGAATCACTTTGTATTTCAGCAATGTTAAAATGAAAGGTAGCAGAATTTTCTAAGAAAATGATGTTTTTTCTCCAAGAAATTAAACATGATATAGTTGCAAAATTTCTCCAACACACAATCATTCAGATGGAATGCAATGGCCTGGTCACAAGTTGTGTATACCCTCGGGCTTGTAGCCAATCGGAACTTCTTTATAGCTGAAGTGAGAACCGTGGTCATTTTGAAAAAATAGTAAAAATTCAGCACTTAATTGACCATCTTCGTTTTTGGATTTTTTAACTGAAAACTAAATATTGATATTTGACAAAAAGATTAAGACAGTGTTAGTGTGAAAAACAATTAGAGGTTCACACTAGTCCATCTCCACTTGACGATTGATTCAAGGAAAAGACTCGGTATCTTGCTCAAGTTCCAGGTTCACGCCACAAAGTTTTCCTGCATCGTTTCTTTGACGTTTCTATCCTAACTATTCCTAGAAGAGCTTGAAATAGAGAAAGGGAATAAAAGGCTAATGTAAAGTGCGAAAAAGGTAGCAAAATGTGATTAAAAAAATGCGATTAAAGGCAAAGGAAACAGGAACGTAAAACTGAGCAGAAAGAAAATAATGCTGATTGATTCTCGATTTTGTACCTCTTTGGACTTCTTTTACATCGTGTTTAGGTTGTTTCCTGACATCACATAAACTGTTGCACATTTTAAATAATGGCGTTCTGTCCAATCGCTCTTCCATTTTTGCCCCTTGATTATTTTATATATTCTAAAATTTCCTCTCATTGAACTTTGGCATGTTGGAACTGAACATGCTGAAAGAAAATACGCTAAAAAAAATAAAAGACAGAAACAGATTGTATCTGAAACAAGAAAGAAAGAGGATAGGCGTTACGTCTAATAATGACAGACTGCATTTGAGATTGGAGTCATAGAAAGGAAAACTGAGCAGATAAAACAGACGAATTTGGTGGTAATCAAATTACATAAACTCAACAAAATGGATCTAAGAAACATTCCAGAAAGGTACCTTGACTTTGATAAGCTTAGCTAGAGACTGGATATCTAAAATTGATATTCGCTTGATAAATTGTGTTAGATGTGTTAAACACAAGATAAAACGCTAACCTTGACATATATTAATATTAAATCATGCTAAAAAAATAAAGAATCTAAAATATAACAAAATATGATGCTAACATATTGATTGTTTTAGGTTTCCAGGCAATCTTCTTCGGAAACGGGCATGTTTGAGGCAGAGTCGAATATTGAATGTGCAATGTTTAACAGAAACTCAAACCTTGAATTATCACGTAAGTGAAAGACTGTTAAGATGCTCTAAAAATAAACGCTGCAAATTATTTCAAGAAATTATTGTATGTACTGCAAAAGATAAAGAATAAACTCGATTATCACTCACAATTACTTAGCATATGCATAATGGGGGAATCCTTTCATTAACATTCCAAGAGAAGAACCACCAGGAACAGCATCTTCTGATTCTAAGAGCAGCGCATTCTTTTTGTTCAATGTCTCATTCTCAGTCTCACCAAAACAGTACACAGGAGCCTGCCAATGTTCATCCTCAAGCACCGCACCAACCTCAAATGTTATCACATGAGCAACCATCCCTACAATCCACCATAACAATAGGCACGGTACATTTAATAGTCATTCATAAATTAAAGTCTAAAATAGCTATTAACAAGAATAACGATATTACAGAAAAGTAGTATCATGATTTGTCAGAGTTTGGTTAGAGAAACTTCTCAACAAGAACATCTAGGAGAAATAAATTAAAAAAAAAATGCAACAAATTTCGCCATAAGCTAAATGAACTTATCCATAATCTATTTTATTGAAGTTCATTCTTATTAGTTTTTTCTAAATCTGATTCTGAAATTATTCATAAGCTAATTTTTAGCTTACTGAGGAGCTGATTTCATTTTTCCTTCTTATTTTTTTTTCTTAAAAGTATTCATAAAAGAGTTTCTTTGACACATGCTTGTAGTATATGACTGACTAGTCACATATGTTAGAATTCTTGTGGAATGAGGTGTCAACATAATAAAGAGAATTATGAAGATAATTGTGTTCACATATTTACTGTCTAAGAGCATCTCATACAGAATTGAGAGGAATCATACGAATGAAGAGAAAAAAAGTGTAGAATTGACTAACCGGAGTAGAAGATCCACTTGACGGGTCTTCGAGTGAGGACATCCTCGTAGTAGGTGATGAAGTCGACTTTCTCCCAGACGTTGCAGAGGAAGTTGTCGGCATACTCCTGGCCGAGGTAGTTAGCGCCGTTGAGCCAGTCGGGGCGGAGAATGCCAACCTCGAAGTGGATGATTTTGCAGGTTTTGTTGAAGGGTTCGAGCGTGTAGTAAAAGGAGGTTCCATTGTCCCATTCGAGATCGTATGTGAGTACGCCCAGCTGGTGTTGAATTATGTTGAAGTTGCGGCCATTGGGCCAGTCGTACCATAAGTCAGTTTTCTGGAGATTGCCGCTTCGGTTTATGAACAGCACCGAGTGGAATTGGTTCGGCCAATCAGCTGGAACCGGAATTGAAATTGAATCACTCGCTGCTGTTGATAAGGAGTGTTGAAGGAAGAGGAATAAGAAGAAGAAACTAACGGCGTCTGTTGCAGAGGTCATTGCTAACATGGGGGGGAAATGAAGCAAGGAAAAGATGATAAGGAATGTGGTGTGACTTTGACTATGAAGGGGAAGTGTTCGATTTATGGTACAATAATTTTGGAAGACAATACAATAACTTTGACTGTGAAGGATAAGATAGTTCCCATTTGTTTTTGTTTAGGGCTTTACGTCAGTTTCATCAACTTTAGCTACTGATGCTGATCATGGTTAAATTACTCGCTGAAAATGTTTCATTGACAAAAATATTTATATATTTAAAATAAGTTTCGATAAATCAGACATTGCATATAAAATATGAGATATTTAGTATCTTCATCCAACAATTACAAACGAGAACTATGACAATGCATCGCGTAAATTGGATGCACCATTAAGAGCCAGTGGAAAGGAAAAAAAAAGTTTTATATTATAATCATTAACCTGAAATACTGAATTAACTAATTGATATATAACTAATACATAAATATAAATTGATATATGACTAATACATAAATATAAAAAGCAAATAGAGGTTTAGTCCTAAATTTAAAAACAAACATATTGCTTTTGAATAAAAAAAGTCATTATTATTTAAGTGTCAAAAACCTTTTTTCTCTTCATCGAATCGAACAACCAAAATTAGTTTATCACAGTAGAAGCAAACAGTAAGGGTTCACATACTAAAACATGTTACCTAACTTCATTTCTAATCCAAACTTAATCTACCCACGACAGGCACCTTCAACTCAAAACAAGGTGTGCACCTTCACTTTTCACTTTCAATTTTACATACTATATTTGCTATCATCTGGGCCCTGTCATGCAACTACATCAAATTAAGGAAACCATCGTTGTAGCAATGATACCTTGATTTTATTAGTGCAGCTTATTTGCTTGTTCTCCATAGAACAAACCAATTCAATAATTATATAGTAACATTAACATATCATTTATAAAGGGTATAAAAGAGTTTCAAAAAATAACGAACAAAGATACAAGTTCACTCCTACCAAAAGATATTTTAAAATGAGATACACAATTAGAACCGAAAAAGGGGAATCCAGAATCAGCAATTCAAGCCACGGTGTAAAATCACTCACAACAGAAATACAAAAACGAATGCAGAACAAAAGGTTTCCAGAAAGTAAATCACAATCCATTAGTTTTCATCCCTTTCACTGTTCTCTAGTAGCTAGTACATACCTTTATTTTGCAGTTACACAACCTTTATTTATAGTGAAAAATATTGTAGACAATATATTTTTTCATTGTTACGAATGAAAAGATTGTTTATTCTCAAGCTACTGATTCCCTGTAATGGGACCACCACGAAATTTCTTGATATCATCCCAGCCTCTTACCCATGGTTGGCCAGGTGTTGCTCTTGTTTCAGGAGCAGAATAAATCTCAAGATTCTTCACAACTCCTTCTCGCACTGCAGTAAAGACCTGTGCAAGGAACAAATGGCATGAGCATTGGTACCCCAAAGAAAAACAAATCCAACTAAATAACTAAATTGGAATTTCATCATTTAAATAATAAAATAAAACTCACTGGGTTTGTGCTGATTGATTCTGGGGGTTGCTCTTGCCCAGATATCCACTTCCATAAATCTGGATTCTCCTGTATAACACAGACTCAAAATCAACGTATCTGTCTCTCAACTTGAGCAACAAGTTGCTATCTCATTTCCATTGTTTATTTATCAGAATAAAATCATCAAACAAACTACATTTATCACTAACCTTCCTTCTCAAGATCTAATTTGCTCATAAAAGTGTACAAATAAAGTAGTTAAGTTCCGAAGGTGATAAATTAATCTTAGTCTCTCCAAATTCTTTTGGATTAACCTCAAGAATTAGCGAGATGAGAATCACTATTCCATCCTTTATTCTACTATAACGAGTTACATTTTCCATTTAAACATTCCACACATAAAAAGGCCCTCTTAAAAAAGACACCTGAAAGATTAACAAGAAAACTAACCTGAATTAAATAAAGCATTGACGAGGAATAAACCTCAAAAAATGCTCAATAAATGAGATATTACTCTCTAGGATCCTAACAATGTTTATATAACACATACTTAAACTTTACTATATATAAGAAAGAATTAGTAACACTTGATTATGTGTCATGTGAAAATTAGCAAGGACCATATAACAATTTCTTCTAAAACACTTAGGATCATGTTGCCAAGACAACAGGTTCTTTTAATTAGATATGCACGTTACCTCCAAAACTCATGTAAATATACCCTATATACTATTATTTATTAAAAGGTCTCAAGGTTTGAATTTCCAGATGGCATTGTCATCATACTAAACTAACAGATTATTTTATTTAATGTGTATTATAAATCCATTTCTTCTATTATAAATCCTATTAAGACATTATGGGGTGTATTCAATTGGGATTTAAAATATATTTCTATAACAAAGTCTTGTGGTATTCAATTAAAATTATTAAACATTTTAAAAAATTATTATGGTAATCAATCAAGACTATAAGGATTTTTTTAGAGGATAACAAAATCTGGTCGTATTCAATTGAGATTTTAAAAGATTAAAAAAGAATCATCTGGTATTCCAAATCAGACAATATATAATGGATTATGTCATGGATTGAAATTTATGGGTTTTTTAAGACTTTTTATTCGTATGTATAAATATCATTCCCATGACATAATCTCACCCAAATATGTGAGACTTTACTACTCAATATTGACAGTAGTGGAGTTTTCTCTTCCAATTTTAAACATTTTACTACATTTAGGTAATTATTTTATGCTATTGTTCAGGGTTATTGCTTTCTACAATCAATTTCTAGGTTATCGTTATTACTATTACATATGATTGTTTAATAAATGAAATTTTCTTTGTTCTAATCTGACTTTTATACATGATATTGTTCTTTGAGTTACAAGATTTTAAACATTTCCCTTTAACCATAGCAGCGCCATGATTGAATTTCAACAATATTGTTTAGACTAGTTTATGATCAACAAGTTCAAAATGTAGCTATCAGGAATTCTATAAAAACTAAAAAACTTAAAAGAGAACAAAAATAAAAATTAAAGGAGTGTCGTATCATGTCACTTGACACGATTCCAGTAAGTCTAACTGATAGAAATAAAATTGTTTAACTGATCCAAGTGGAATGAAATTAGATCCCTCGCAATCTTCACATAATCTCTCAAGGAACACCCAACGAAGTTAAATATTTTGATTCATTAGTGTTAATAAGGATCAACCACATGACCTGATGATAACTATGCTAGTTATGGCAGTCCAATCGAAACAATAATATATAAAGCGCAAAAGAAGGTACCAAGTCAAGGACATGAATGAGAGCTCGAATGCGATTTTCATCCAAGGAGTGAATATTGTCCTCTACCCACTTCCCGAGCACCAAATCGAGTTCTAGGAACCCTCGCTGCTTGCTTCTATACAATAGCCTATTGGAATTGCCAAATAACAATAATAATTAAAAAAAAATATCATTCGTTAACACATCACTTAATATATATATATATATATATATATATATATATATATATATATATATATATATATATATATATATATATATAAAGGAAGATTGAGAAGGGGAACCTGTTGATCAAGCGCCTTTTGCTTTCTTCGTTGGAAAAATCGATGTTTACAGAGTGAGAGTGAGAGTGAGAATCGTTACCAGCGTGGGAGGTGAAAGGGCAATGCGATAAAAGGGGTCTAGGAAACGGGTTGTGAGATGTTGGGTAGCGCGAGGAGTTGAGAAGATTAGTTATTACTCTTCTGATATGCAAAGAAGCCATGAGAATGATTTGGTTCTTGTGTTTGTTGCGGGTAGCTTATGAAGGTTTATGCAAAGGTGGAAACCTTTCTGCGCTGCTATCGTGGCTTTCTTCCCTCCACATCCACCACCCAAACCAAACGCATCTCTTCTAATGCTTAGCTATTCCATGCTTAAAAAAATTATTATTTATGTGATTAACTTTTAATTTACCAAGTATTAGATATGTTAGTAATCAAAATATAATTAAATTATTTGAATTATATATCAAGTAAACGTAATTTTTTCAAAGTGTTAAAAATAGTTAAATTGGGATAATCATAATAGCTAAAAAACTAAAAGAAAAATTAAGTGAACAATTAAATTAAGGGTAAAAAGATACAAAAGTGGATAAACACATTTTGATATGTGTGTAAATGGTGTATAAGAAATTGGGTTCTTTCCATTTTGAGACTGATTTTTAAGTTATACCACACTTGATTTAATTATTTTTGTGTTTAAAATTCAAGCATTTAATTAATAAATAAATTAAATAATTTAGATAGTGTAATACTAAAAAGTTATTATAATAAATAGTAGAATTTTATTGAAATATATTAACATTGTAACATTTTTTTATTCATTTATTGAAATACAACACTAGCTTATTGAATTTGAAGTATTTAGTAAAATCGATTGATCAATTAGCTGATCAGCTAATTGTGGTTATGTTTCACATAACTAGTGTAATTGAAAGATGATAAGTACCAAGAACTGGAAAGTAAAACTAATCCTTAACTTAATACATATTTGAACAAATTTAGCAACTTATGATATGAGAAAAGGAAAGATAGCATAACAAGCATGAGTAATTTCCTTTTCCTTAAGCATCAGTGATCACTGATTAGTGAAGAAAGATAAAGTATCTAGAAGAATGAACTAGTCACTAAAACAAAATGACTTAAAAGTAAATACTAATTTTGTATGTGACATTGATGAATTGTTTTGGTAATTTGTATGTCTCAATATTAAAACACGAAATAGTCCTTCACACACTGTTCCCTTATCATGAAGGTTTCCTTCAATTTTGTGAAGATGGTCTGAATTTGATGGTTGAACTAAGTGCTTAAAAGTTAATTTCCCGTCTCTCTGCAAAGAATTTGCCTGTAATAGCTTGGTCAGGAAGAAGGGAAAGCCAGACTCCAGAATCAGCACCAGCCTCAACTGACACACTTCCTGCATAACCTGTGAGAGCAGTTTTCACCCAACCAGGGCAATAGCTGTTAATAAAAATCTTTTCACCATCAGGTCTCTGAGAAAGCTCCTTGGCCAAGAACCTTGTGTAAGCATTCACTGCTAGTTTTGACACCGAGTAATCTGTGAACGTTGGAGGCCATCCTCCTGATTGCCAAGTTCCATCTTCCACTTGTTTCAGAAAAGTTTCTGCCATCTCATCAATTAGTTCCTCTGAAATTGTATCCACGTTACTTAGTTTCTCCCTCAATTCATCATTCTCCAATCTCTGTAGAGTATGTTAACCCCACCAGCTTAGAATCACTTTCATATAATCATCTAGCACAAATTTGTTGTTTACTTTTTGAGAAGATATAGCATACAGTAAGAACAACTTTACACGAATAATCAATTGATTATAAATGTAAAAACTCTTTAACATCACGTACAAACTAAGCTCTTAATCTACAAGTCATAAAAATTGATCAGCAGAGTCATACAAATTGTTTACTTACATTTCGTCTGCCGTTTAGTCGACCTAGACGCGAGCTCACATTTACAATGCGTCCACCAGCAGATGATGCCTTCATCAGTGGAATCATGGCTTGAATTATACGCTTGGTGCCATAATAATTTGTTTCAATAACCAACTTAGCATTTTCAACGGAATTATCATTCCCAAAATTGAAATTAACACCAGCGTTATTTACCTGCAGAGATATATGATATTACTGCTTAAGTAGAAACATAATAAGAACATCTGTTACATTACATTACATTCTGGTTTTATATGTAGACTAAAAACAAAAGTTATCGTCTTTATGCCTTCATGTAATCTATTGAAGTACCCTTTCAGTTCAATTTCATGTTATAAGTTTCCAACAAATTGGCAGAAATTCAATTGCAATGGGCTAAAGTAGATACGGCATATGCATGTTTTAGAAACTTACCAGAATGTCTAAGCCACCATAATTTTCCTTCAACCAGTCACAGAATTGGTCGATGGAAGAAGTGTCTAGAATATCAAGTTGATGACATGCCACATCATTCAGACCACCCTCTTGCAAGACCTTAATTGATTCAACACCAACACTGGCATCTCTTGATGTTAGTATTACAGTTACTCCATGATCAGCAAGTTGTCTAGCGATCTCGAACCCAATTCCTCTGTTTCCTCCGGTAATCACTGCAATTGTTTCCTTTGACCACCATCTATGCATAAGCACAAGATTAAACACAGGTGGGAAAATACTAGAATCTCTAGTTCCATCAATTAAGGATTGCTGACTCAATTTTGATACTACCATCCAATTACAAACAACCTCTCGTTACGAGACTTTTAATGTAATTATAAGAAAACTGAACAAGTTTTATCATATGATCACATTGTAAAACTAGTCTCTTTTCTCTTAAAATTATGTCTTATATTGTATGATAATACCAGTGACAATACACTTTCTAACATATTCTTCTTAAACATTTTATCAATAATTAAAAATTCATTGAAAACTCGAAAACCATGATAGATTCATTAAATACATATCTTCTGTTTACATATCTTCAAATTAAACCAAAAATACGCAGTAACTCTGTAGTTTGATTTCAATGTTCATAGCTGGAATTCAATGTTCATGAGCCTCTATATCTTTATCAGCAGAAGGGAAAAAAGGTCAATGAAAATGAATGAATGAATATAGAGCATGAAAAGGTAAACATATCAGAAAAAGCAACCTCTGGTGATCTGCATAAGGAATTGTCCTGAGAAGAGATATCTCTTGCAACCTCTTCTCTTGTCGCTCTTTAGATTTCTCTTTGTGCCCCATTGCTTTCTACCTCTGTTGGTTTAGCACCAAGTGGAACTCTAAAAGCAGAATTGATGGGAGTTTGGAATATTGAGGTGATGAAGTTGAAAGAGATGAAGGTTGTATCTCACACACAAACACACAGGCACAATGAGTGGCCATGCATGCATGCATGCCACGTTGTTGGTCTAAGCATATATCTTGGCCTTTCGGTCAAATGTTTAGAACTATACTTAGGCAACAGATCCACTATATTTTGTTTCAGGTAAAATTCCTACACCATTTCAAAACAAGGTGCCAAAATCATCCACCAAACACAATTATTGCTGTTCTATGCAGCTCTTTTGGTCTTATGTGAACAACATTAATGTTCTTTGTAAGATCATACATTCAAGGGTGCGTGTCTCATGTACACGTCATCTAAAAATATTTTTAAAACAAAATATAAATAATATAAACTTCATATTTTCAGTATATATAATTAGTTCAATGGGTAGAATATAGAATATGTTAAAGTATAGGGTTGCATAATATGTAGTGATTAACTCAAGAATGTAATATAAAAACTAAATGTTCCATTATCAATATCCTGAAGTGTATTATTAAAATAATATAATGGATATTGTAATAACGAAATATTTAAAATAATGTAAAATGAAACTAAATTGTTATTAACAAAAAGGAGAAAAGAAAACAAACACAGTAGTAAAATCCTACTCTGTATGAAAAAAAGGGTTTAAAAGAAAAGTTAGTTAATATTTAAAAAAAAATTAAAAATTAGGAATTGATTTTGAACAGATGCTACTTAAATTATTATCGTGTCAAATATTAATAAAAAAAGTAATAAAATTATGTGTATGACTCTGTTTCATCTTTAAATCCATTTTTCGTTTTCTTCTTCACTGTGTAATGTGTACAATTATTTCTGATGAACTATTCCATGTCCTCCACAAAGGACCCTATATATCACAAAAGTTAATAACTTTATCATTAATACTACTTTCTCATCATCATTTTAAAAACTTTTGCGTTCTTACTCACGTTAATCTATTATAAAACGTATCTTATCTATTTTTTAAATAATGAAAAAAAAATTATGACTTTAACAAAATCATACATTTTTTTAATTTAAGATAAAAATATATTAAATTATTATTCAAATGTTTTTTTCAAAAAAAAATAATAATAACTATTTAACTTTTAATAATTTAGCCTGCACATTTCACTATAAAAATTGTATGTGAATTTCTAAAAATCAAAGGGTCATTTGTGATTAAATATTTTAATCATATATAATATAATATTTTATGCTGTTTTATTATATGATTAAAATATACTATGAAATAAAATATTATTTTTATATAATAAATGATATTTAGTATTTTTAATAAATATATATAATTAAAATTAATATATGTTAAATAAGATTATATGGATCTGGATGCATAAAAGTGAGAACTCATGTGTCTTCCTTAGTGATTATAAAAATTCTTTCCTACAATTTATTCAAGGTTATTTAGAATTTATTTGTTTATTGTGTTTAAAATAGTTTTCTTAATTTTAAAATTTTAAAATATATTTTTAATGTTAAAATTGCAGTCCAATTTTTTATAGTGACTTTGATATGGACAACATCTTTTTTTCATTTAAAACAATTTCTAAATTAAACATATTAAATAAGATTTTTTAAATTTATTATAAAAATAAATATTCAAAATTGATTATTCAAACTATTTTTAAAATCCAATAATTAAAAATAAATCAGATAAATCTTTAATTTTTAATTTTTTAATTTACACATAAATTATTTTTAAAGGTAAACTTATTTTTTATTTTTATATATCTTTTTAAAATCTTCCACTTTTTTTTACGAAAGAATAATCAAATTATTTAAAATATTTACTTTTTATTCTCATCTTCAATTTATTTTAGTATATATAACTATTCTAACAAGTATTTAAATTTATAGAAAAATAAATAATAATAATAATAATAATAACAATAATAGTAATAAGAAGTAACTACTAAAATAAAGAGATACTATTTCATTTTATTTTATCTAAGGTATCATTCAAAATAGGAAATACTTATTAAAATAATCACTGTTTGTTATTTTTTTTATTAAAAAAAAAAAAGACTGATTATTAAGCATCACTAAAACGTGAGAGAATCATTATTCCTATATAAATAACTATAATAGTCTCAGAGAATATTTATATCAAATTAGAGGTGATGATGTTATTAAACTAATTTTAAAAAATTATTTAAATTTTTAATATATAAAAAGTTCTGTAATTATGTTGAATTTTGTGGGATTAATTTATTACTAATATTTATATGGAGTGTGTAGAAGAAAAATAATTATTTTTTCGAATAATATCCTCATGCATCATTGTGTTTATATTTTCTATAATTGAGACTCTGTATTTTGTTGTTTTTTAAGAGAAATCCACAATTATCAAGATAAGAAATACAGTATATACTGATGAATTTATCAATGGAAGTTGCATAAGAGAATGTTAGGTCCCATTATATATTGTTAAAGGAGAATTAGTAGTTTTTATATATATATATATATATATATATATATATATATATATATATATATATATAAATTATAAAATCGTGATAAAATAATAAGTTGATGTTATTTAGAAATAAAGATAATTTATATATATTATTTTTTTATATATCAAAATCTCTTTAGACAAAATTATAATAACAAATTATTAAATATTTTATTAATATTATCGAATATTTAATTAATATTTTATAGAATTATTGATGAACGTGTAATTATTTTAATTTTTATTATATTTTATCATGTGTTAACTAGATATAAAATTTAATATATATATATATATATATATATATTTTTTACTTGTTTCTTTTAATTTATCTTATTCATCTCTATCTCTAAACCAAATTATAAAGTAAAATATCATTCATTAAAAATAATCATTTACACAATTTAAACTTCTTATTATAAATTAAAAATATATTTTATATCTTAAAATATATTAGTTATCATAGTTTTTATTATATATAATCTCTATATTTTACATTATAATTTTAAAATTTTATTTGTAATTTTTTTAAAATAAAATTTTAATTTTTAAGTATATTAAAAATATATTTTTCGTTCAAATTTCAGCTTAATTAAAAATATGCTTAAATAACTATATTTTTATTTGATATTTTATATAACTAAAAATATAATCAAATAGTAATAATATATTCGATAGAAATAAATTTAACAAATTTTGAAAGTAAAATTATGTTGAAATTTATTTATATTATATCTTGTAATTGATTAGGGTAATTTTTTTTTATCAGAAGTGATTATTCATATTTTGGAATATTTATCAAAAGTTATCAAAATTAGAAATGGTCCTAAAATGTACATAGACCTAGTACCAAGAAGCTAAAAGGAAATAAAAAATTGGATACAAAAGATGCGCAGTGAAGACAGCTTGAGAGGAATATCCACATAATAACCGTAATACCCCGTTTTCTGTACATATTTTGTTGATGAAAATAATATCCCCTTTTCTTCTCTAACTGCTTAGCAAAGAGGGATATGGCAGCAAACACAATCAGAATCAGAAACTGATTGATTTCCTTTTCAAACAAGTACCCTCCCTCAATCACAATGTGGATTTAACACTGATTCAATTTCCACATAAACACTTGTAATAACACATCCAATGCCTTAGTATATATATATATATATACATATATAAATATATGTAACATATATTCTGCATAAATTGAAAAACTGTCCTCAACAATTGCAATTTCAGGTAACTTCTTCTTCAACCTTCTTCTTCTTCCTATTATCTTTTGCATCATCACACTGCACACTATGCTTAGTCCAATTAACTTCTGGTGATTCTCTTTTGTCACTTTCTTCTCTGCTTTGACCAATCCTTCAATTCAATCGCTGGTTTTCTTTTCACAGTTGGTGGTTTACGACTTTTGAGTTTCGAGATTTTGACCCTTCCAACCCCACTTAACCGCTATGCAGATCTGAGTCCAAAGTTAGCATCTTTCCGTCCTTAAAATTCCAAATGCTCCATTGGGTATCTCCGATTTTCTGAGGTTTTGAGATTCTGGGCGAAACAGCATGTCCGGGGCAGGCCAAGCCATAGACATGGACAAGGTGGGGTTTCCAAAAGCGAAAGCCGATCGTGGCCGTGGCAAAAAAATGGGTCCGGTTTCCATGGATCACGTGCTTCTTGCCTTGCGTGAGACCAAAGATGAGAGGGATCTTCGAATTCGGAGTCTCTTCAATTTCTTCGATGCTGCCAATAATGGGTACTTGGACTATGCTCACATTGAGGCTGGTTTGTCTGCACTGCAGATTCCCCCTCAGTATAAGTATGCCAAGGAGCTTTTCAAGGTTTGTGATGCTGATAGGGATGGTAGGATTGATTACCATGATTTCAGGCGTTACATGGATGACAAGGAGTTGGAACTTTACCGCATATTTCAGGCCATTGATGTGGAGCACAATGGCTGCATTCTCCCTGAAGAGCTTTGGGATGCACTTGTCAGGGCTGGTAGGTATTCTTTTAGCTCCTTCAAAGTTTAATACTACTCACTTTGTTCATTGTGTTTTGTGCCTCATTGCTTCTGAGTACTGCATGTCAAGATTTTTACATTGTCGTTCAATACATGTTATCATAACTAAACATGTTATAATATATGGTAAGGTTGTTGGCTTTTGTAATAATTATATTGAAGGTTACGACTAAAATGGGTTTTCTGAATACTTGACATGCCTTAAGATAATTTATGATTCATTTATGGTGCAAAAATCTTTACGTTCACGATAAATGGAAGTTAAATTGTTATTTTATTGGTTTTGTTGTTATTTGCTATCTCTCCTCTTCATCTTTATATGATTGTAGTGATTTCAGTATGTTGTTGGTTGGCTGTTCATTTTCCGTGAGGGCCAAGGCTTGTTGACATTCGATGTTGTTTCTTAAACTTGCACTGCATCTGGTCTTGGTTGTGATGGGGTGAACTTATTTGTAGATTCTATAATTGGGGCTATAAGGGTTTGTTTACGATAGGACATTTGTGGTTGTAGTCATAATGGTTATTATGTGTAGAAAAGGTTGAGCCCTACCTCTTGAGAGACTGCATGCAGGGTTTTACGTTTCTTCACTAAATGTGATGAATCCTTGTGATTTATGAATGCGTGTTTCTTAAGATGTAACAGTCTGTTGTTTATGAATTAAAACAAAAAAGAGAGAACTTTTTGAATAATTTTACTAGAATGCACGGTGCTTTAGATTTCTGAAGCCTGCTTCAACTTCCAGTATTGATGGTAAATTATATTGTGTTTGTTACTTATTTTCTTAGTTATTTTTTCAATTTTTTTGTTTGTGGTGATCTGCTCATTTGTTATAATTCTTATACGTTTTCTAGATGGTATTCCTCGGTGCCTTTGTGGAAGTTTTTTCTCTGTTCTATTTTTTATGTAGTATTTATTGTAAGCATATTCAGCTTCTATGTTGCAGGGATTGAAATTGATGAGAAGGAGCTTGCTCGCTTTGTGGAGCATGTTGATAAGGATAATAACGGAATTATCACTTTTGAAGAGTGGAGAGATTTTCTTCTGCTTTATCCTCATGAAGCAACTATTGAAAATATATATCAGCATTGGGAGAGAGTGTGCCTTGTTGACATTGGGGAACAAGCTGTCATTCCTGAAGGAATCAGCAAACATGTGCACAGGAGCAGATATTTTATTGCTGGGGGAATAGCAGGAGCTGCTTCTCGTACAGCAACTGCTCCTCTTGATCGTCTAAAGGTGGTCTTACAAGTTCAGACTGGACGAGCTTCTATTATGCCGGCAGTGATGAAGATATGGCAACGAGATGGTTTATTAGGGTTTTTCCGTGGTAATGGATTGAATGTTGTCAAGGTAGCTCCAGAGAGTGCCATCAAGTTTTATGCTTATGAAGTGCTGAAAAATGTAATTGGAGATGCTCAACAGGGCAAGTCAGATATCGGTACTGCAGGAAGACTTTTTGCAGGTGGCATGGCTGGTGCAGTTGCGCAGATTGCTATCTACCCAATGGATCTTGTCAAAACTAGGTTACAGACTTGTGCTCCTGATGGTGGAAGGGTTCCTAAACTTGGTACACTTACAAAGGATATATGGGTCCATGAGGGACCTCGGGCTTTCTACAGAGGGCTTGTTCCATCCCTTCTGGGTATGATTCCTTATGCAGGGATTGATCTTACTGCATATGACACCTTGAAAGAACTGTCCAAGAAATATATTCTTTATGACAGTGGTATGATATTACTGCAACCACATTAATGATTTTATTTTACCAGGTTGTATTTTTTAAATTGACAGTTCTAAAGTATTGAACCTTTGAAACTTACAAAGTGTTATTATTTTTTGTCCTTCACAGATCCTGGTCCTCTAGTACAACTCGGATGTGGGACAATTTCGGGTGCTCTTGGAGCTACTTGTGTCTATCCGCTGCAGGTTATTCGAACAAGGTATGAAGTTGTGCCAGTAGTAATGTTATTTCTCTGCTCTCCTTCTCTCAAATGGAAATAGGGAGTGGGGGATGGTATCAGTTTTGTTCCTTTACGCTAGTTTTGTGATGATACTTTCTGTATGCTCTTTATTGACATAACTTCAACATGATTTTCAGGCTGCAGGCACAACCTATCAACAGTACCGGTGCCTACAAGGGAATGTCTGATGTATTCTGGAAAACTCTTAGGGATGAAGGCTTTAGAGGTTTCTACAAGGGACTCATTCCTAATCTCCTCAAAGTTGTGCCAGCTGCAAGCATTACTTATATGGTTTATGAAAGCATGAAGAAGAGTCTAGATCTTGAGTAGAGTATCATAGTTAAACTAGCTAATTTCAAATATTATAAAGTCTTGAATTGTTGATGGTGACGAAAAAGAACAGAGATTACTAGTCCTGTAGGCACTATTACAGATAGTCATTCTTCCGAGGATATCTTAAAACACGATTTTGTAGTCAGAAAGTTTTTCCCCATGCTTATCTGAACTAAAATATTGAGAAACTAGGTTATATTCTAGATATACCAAGGTAACAGGTGTTATCCTTTTCAATCTGTACTTTCCAAACTATTTCATATAGTCAAAAGCGAAGACACATAATTGTGTTTCTCCTCTATTATCATGTCACTAGAAATTCCATTTACTTTCCATTTACTTACAAAAATGTCGTAAGGATTTTTTAGTGAATAAAATTGATGGATAGAATGATGCCAAAAGAATTCTTATCAGATCACTAGTAAAGAAGATTTGTTTGTTCAAATTTCTTTCTGTTGAATGTACAACGTTACTTACCCTATGTGCAGGTGCAAGGCACAATGGTAGGAAACTAAATAGAGATTATTAACGTACTCGGGTCCAGTACAGAGAATTGCTTTAAAGGAAACCTCAGACTCTTATATTTTGGAATTCTGGTGAATAAAGTAATATCTGTCTCTTGATCATTTTGTCTACTACAGGAGAAAAAAGACCACTTTCTTTATTAACTATGTGGATTTTCATATGGCTAACTTTTGCACTGTCTGTCTTGTGTGGTGTTTGGGCAGAAAAACCCGTACAGACATATCTAAGAATCTTTTCACACTGACGAGATCACTCTCTCACACGTATCTTTCGAATGAATGATCATTTTACCTGATATTAACCCTGTCATTGGCATTTAGTTTGTGTAGGCATGCAATGCGCAATGCAAAATGCATTCATTTATGCCATGACATCACATCAAGCTTGGTAGTTGTGTGTGTTAGGTGTCATATCATGGTGTTAGGATGCACATGAACCATAGATTACATAAAACATCCCATGTGATATGCACCATAATCGTTCATGACTACCTATCGCTAGCCTGGCACACTGAAAATGTTCTTCTATATTCTTACTTCTACGCGTAAATTGCATACTCAAAGTTTGCATATTCGAAACATACACGTCACCACAACAGCACAAATGTGAATAGTAATTGACAGCAAAAAGTAAAACAATATTCATTTTTCTTTCACGATTGTAGCAAACAGTTCACTTTATTCATGGCTTTCAACAAAAACACAGGAAAATATTTCATTTTCCATATGGTTATATCTCAAATCACTCACTACCTCCCTACATGATGATAAGTCAACCATTAAAAGTTTCAAACTGACTATAATAGGTGAAAGAAAAACACAGTAAATGAGTTCCATAGCAACAAACATAAACATTAATTTAAGATGAAACTGCAGTCTGTGTCTGGCTTAGCCAGCTACAAGGTTTTAAATTGCAGTTGTGAGACAATTTATCAAATTCTGTGATACTGTAGACAAATAGGATCGATGTGACTACAATTGTGATCATGTTGCGGTCGAAATCATGGCTGCAGACTGTTTTTTAAAACCTTATCAAGCTGAACAACCAGTGCAGGTACAGCTTTGTGAATTGAACCTGGAAGAAAGGCTTTGCCTTCCCTAAGCCTTTATGAATTGCCTTTTTGATGCTCCTCTCTTCAAAAGGAGAGTAGCATTATATTCAAGAGCTGAACTTTGTTGTCATCTTCTTCTTCACTTTCTTCTTTCTCCATTACTTGGTTTAGATAGCAACTGGAATGACGGACATTGGTGGTTTCTTATCTCCCAAACATTCAAGCATATATAACCACTCCAAAGGCACAGACACGTGGAAGGATTAGCTTCAACTCCAACTTAAAAACATGGAATAAAAAATCCCGACAAAAGATAACAGATAAGCATAGGCATTAAAAAAAGAATCAAATCAAATTTCAATCTCCCAAAAAGTATTCTATCTCACACACTCAAGAATATTATTGTTCTTCTTCTGCTTTAAACAATTTCTCTCACAAATTCCCTTAATCCTGCCATTCCACGCGTCTCACACGGACAAGGAAAGATTATTAAAGATTAAAGATGGGAAAGACGGCTTTGAAAAACAGGTGAAAAGTGAAAGAAATGGTCATAATAATAAAAAGGTGGTAGGTTAAAGTAACCATAGAGACAAAACAGCCAAGTGTAAAGACAGAACAGGGTTGTGGTTAAGCACTTGCATTTAAAAAATTGGCAGAATGGTGTGCACCATCCAATTGGCATGCATGGAGCTAAAATAAAATAGGCATTAATGCTTCAGTGGGCTACTAAATTCCGCAATGAATGTACTATAACTAAAGAAAACCAATACTCTACTTTTTCTTATTCTTCTTTCTTATTATATAACCAGATATGGTTCAATGTAGTCTATGCCTGTCTATGAACATCTCCTCCTTTCCGTACGAAAAAAAAAATACCAATTATTGGAACCCCTCATGATAAAGTAATTAATTCACCTTAGGTGCTGCTCACCTTCTTCTCACCATGGCACTGGCACTGTTAATGACCTATGAACATTCTATCTTTGATGATACAACATATAGTGTTTTCCTCAGGTACCCAATGATAGGAACTAGAAAGATGCTGCACTGTCCATGAATGGTTTCAGTCATACGTAAAATCTGTAGCAAGTATTATGTCATTCGTTTTACTTATAAGTTTTACTGTGTATAAAAAACGATATTGGAAATACCTAATAAACGAATCCAACACATATCATCTTTGCATAGTTTTTTTAGTTTCAGATATGAATAATATATAAATCTTATTTTATTTATCAGTTGATTTTATATTTTAAGTTTAATTTTTTTAATTATATATTTTAATAAAATTTGTTAGATGTATTATGTCACATATTATACTCAAAATATCTAGTCACATGTTTTCACTATATCTAAATATAAACTAATTTATACGTTTTTTATAATTGGTTGAATTAGGTTTAAATATATTTTTTAATATTTGTTTTAGTATATGAAAAATATCCTTACAAAAAATTAAAAACAATGGTGAAGTCTTTTTTTGTTTTTTTAATTGACAAATTTTAAATGTAAATATAGAACAAATTCATTATGAAAATAATATCATTTTGATATTTGAAAAAAAAAATTATAATTTACATAATTACAAAAAAATTGAAAATAAAGAAAATATTATTTATTTCAAATAAAAAACTACTATTTATACATAAAACAATAGATTAAGTTTTGGATGTAAAATTTAACATCAATGTGGACGTGCCGGAGTGGTTATCGGGCATGATTAGAAATCATGTGGGCTCTGCCCGCGCAGGTTCGAATCCTGCCGTTCACGTATTTTTTTCTTTCTTCTTCCTTCTTTATCCTTTACTAGTACTACTATCAACATATGAATCTATAACACAATGCCTCCTATAACCTTGGAAATAATAAATCAATGCAAGTCCATTTCCCAACTGCACCAAATCCACGCCCACACCATCACCATCGGTCTGTTACCTCCCCACGCACTCCTAATCTTCAACAACATCCTCTCCACCCTCACCACACTACTCTCCTACCCCACCACCACCGCCACCCATTCTTCCAACTCAATAATAACCTACTATGCTATCTCTCTCTTCCATTCCCTCCCAAAACCCAATACATTCTCTTTCAACACCCTCATCAGAATCCACACCCTCCTCCTCTCCCCTCTCCCTGCCCTCCGCCTCTTCTCTACCCTCCGCCGCCTCTCCCTCCCCCCTAACTTCCACACCTTCCCTTTTGTCCTCAAAGCCTGCGCCCAACTCCCTTCCTTCTCCCTCGCCCAATCCCTTCACTCCCAATCCCTCAAGTTCGGGCTTTTATCCGATTTGTTCGCCTTCAACTCCCTCATACGCGTTTACTCCATTCTCGACCGCGTCAACGATGCCCAAAAACTTTTCTATGAAAGTTCCCACAGAGACGTCGTCTCCTACAACGCCTTCATTGATGGGCTCGTCAAAACCCGCCAGATTTCCCGCGCGCGTCAGCTGTTCGACGAAATGCCCGTGCGAGATAAAATATCCTGGGGGACCATGATCGCCGGGTATAGTCACTTGAAACTATCTGACCAGGCCATTGAACTCTTTAATGAGATGATGGGTTTGGAAGTTAAGCCGGATAATATAACGTTGGTGGCGGTTCTCTCCGCTTGTGCTCAGTTGGGGGAGTTGAAACAAGGTAGCATCGTTCATGATTACATTAAAAGGAATAGGATACGGGTTGATTCGTATTTGGCAACCGGGTTGGTGGACTTGTATGCGAAATGTGGGTGTGTTGAGGCTGCGAGGGACGTGTTTGAGTCTTGCAAAGTGAAAGAAGTGTTCACGTGGAATGCCATGCTTGTGGGCTTTGCGATTCATGGGGAAGGATCGATGGTGTTGGAGTATTTTTCTAGAATGGTTGCGGAGGGAGTTAAGCCTGATGGGGTGAGCTTGTTGGGGGTGCTAGTGGGGTGTAGCCATGCGGGTCTAGTTCGTGAAGCCCTAAAGGTTTTTCAGGAGATGGAAACTGTGTATGGGGTTGCACGGGAGGAAAAGCATTATGGGTGCATGGCTGATATGTTAGCGAGGGCTGGGTTGATTGAGGAAACGGTGGAGATGATAAGAGGGTTGCCAAGTGGAGGTGATGTGAATGCGTGGGGAGGGTTGCTTGGAGGGTGTAGGATTCACGGGAATGTTGAGGTTGCAAAGAAAGCAGCGAAGCAAGTGATGGAGATTAAGCCTGAAGATGGTGGGGTGTATTCTGTTTTAGCTAATATTTATGCTCACAATGAGCAATGGGATGATTTAGTCAAGATTAGGAGATCATTGAGTGCTAACAAAAGGGCCAAGAAGATCACTGGTTGTAGTTTGATTAGACTGACTGACGATACCTAGGCTAAGATGCCTATCATAGATTATGGGGGGAAGGTGTATTATAGATTATTGGGATGTTAGGTTAGGATAGATTTGACTACGACTGAACGTTATTTTAACAGTTTTGGCGAATAATTTATTATCGTTTTTGTTTGTAATTAAATGTTTATACTTTGTTTTTTGCTCTCCAACCAGCCCAAGAGCTTCTGGATATTGGGGGCCTTCAAAGACCTTCTTTTGGTTCATGGCAATGCATCACAGGAAATGTGTCACCTATTACGGTTGAGTAAAGGTGTTTTTTTTTTGGGGGGTTGAAATGAGGGGGAGAAAATCCCAACCAGTGTAAGAAAATATGGCACAATCAGAGTCCTGAACTCGAGTGTATATATAAATTTAGGAGAAATTCTATTACACCCTTTCAAAATTTTAGGAGTGTTGAAATTGTTCGGCCAATATCATTTCCTGACTGTATAATCAATATAATTGGTATTTAAACTAAACAAATATAAACGCAGACGGGCAACCATTTTTTTATCTTACATATATGAAGATTACAACGAAGAAAAAAAAAAGTTGAAGTTGAAAAAGTGTAACAGCATATCTGATTGTTTTAAAATAGACTTAATAAGTTTTAACTTGATGGATTCCCTACTCGATTTATTTATGTCAGGTTAATAATTAGATAAGATGTAATAATTAAGATTAATTATTATTTTAAATTAATAAATTATTAAAAAATAATAATTATTATAATAATGAAATGTAAGATTTTAATTTTTATTATAAAATTAAATAAAGTTATTATTTTATAATTTATATATTAAATTATTATATCTTAAAAAACTAATTTTATTAATAAAATATAAAATTTTTAAATGTATTTTTATTTTTTATTTTTATATAAATATTTTTTAATTAATTAATTTTATATAAATATATTAATATTTTTTTAATTTAATCAGGTTAAAATTGATGCCTGACCCAATATAGAATTAAGTTTAAATAAAAAAAATTACTTATTTTAAAATGTAAATCAATTTAGAACGAGATTAAGCTACACGACAACCCGATTTGAGAGCTCAACAAAAGAATGGGAATGATTTTACATAACTATGAAAGCATGCTCTTGATTTTGTGTCATTTTTGTCATCGAGTGAATCCATCGGGTAATGAATTATAATGCTAGAATTTTCACCCATTTACTCTCAACAAATAACATAATAATTAACGTTATAACATTCAGATGAGAGGTGGATAAAGTTGCCTGGATAATCTATGTTCATCATCATATTACTTGAAGAAGCATTGTTTCAAATATTCACAGATATCAATTTTTTTTTAAATGTTATTACACGAATTCAGTCTGATTCAAGATTTAGTTTAACTATTAATTTAACATCAAATTATAAAGTTAGAGTGACACATTGAATGCATAAACAAAACTTGCTTATCCATTTGCTTCTCCAGTCCTGACTATAAGCCAAGCGTGGCACTTCCGGAGCCTTCTAAGGTTGACGTGTCAACAGAAGAAAGGGACAAGTGTCCTGTGGCTTCCACATCCTCCAACGTGCCTCCAGAACCTTCTTTCTTTACCTAGACTCACTTCGCTTTCTCTACAAAGTATCGTATCCACCAAACTACATAAGCACGCCACTAGAACAATCAGTGACACAGACAACAGAAAAAAACGAACACACTGAGTTCAGTTATAGCATCCGCGAAAAACAACGTCGACCACTCCTGTTGGCAGCAATCATGGTTATCAGGCCTATGGTACAATTTTCTTGTTCCTCCATGTTATTAATTATGTCTGATGCATTTATATTAACATGTAGCATCATCTTATTTTTCGTCGTGATGTGGTGCAGAGGGGTAACTGGTTAGCAGTGTTTAAAAACGGCGTTGGAAGTAAGGCAGCGTACACAACCTCAACACCACCAAAGATGAAAGCGTACGCAGCTCCGAGTGACTACAGGCATGTTAACCAGCATCACGGGAAGTCAGCCAAACAGGACTTTGTGCCGGTGTACGTGGCGATTGGGATGATAGCGTTATCGACGGGGCTCGGTCTTCACACTGCGTGGCAGCAACTGAGGAATTCCCCGACGGTGCGCGTGAAGAAGCAGAGGAGAGAGACTCTCCCGGAGGTGGTGGAACCCGAATACGTGGCGGAGGAGGCTGAGAAGTTCATGAAGAAATCGTTCTTCAGGAAAGTGGCGCACGTGCAAGAGCGGAGTTACCCCGATCACCACCACATCCCTAACCCCATTCTCAAAGATGCCTATGCCCACACCCCTCGTATTGAGTCTCTAAAATCCGTTGGGGTTAATCCCTCGCACAACCTCTGATTTTTGTAAATATAATAAACGTAGGGTGTCTTTTAGTTTAGTATCTTGCTTCTCTTAAAACTTGTCTTCTAAGCACCAACAATAATGTTCTGTAAGAAATTATCCAGCAGTCTACCTTAACGCTTGAATACCTTTTTTTGTCCAAACTTTTTATTGTGTTGTAATTATATAATCATTTTAAAAAATGAGAAATTATGTTAAAGAATTGTTTAAAACAATGCTCCATCATTACTCTAATTTTCATAGAGAGTAAATTACATGCTTTTTTCTTGGTAAGAAAGCAGGTAAGTTACACATTAATACAGTATAGAGAACTGAACTGATATAAGAAAGTTAATTGAAAATTTATCTAAAAAGTTTAAAAAGCCATAAAGAATTGGAGTTTTTTATATCTATTATTTTTTTCAAATAATGAAATTATTTGGTTCAGAAATCAAAGGAAACTATATTAAATCATTTTGTTAATTAAATAATTTTTTGCTCATCAAACTAACATATTCTAATATGTATTATATAAAAATATATCCAACTTTTATTTTTGAAAAATACATCATAATTTCAAGAAAAAAAACTTAGAATATATAAAAGAAATTAAAAGTTTCATCCTCTAGTTTCATATTTATTTTACAGAATTTTTTATTATTTATATTTTAATATCAAATTATTTTTATGTAATTGTTAAATTTTTATCTCATTATATATATATATATATATATATATATATATATATGCGCGCGCAGTTATACCAATAAAAACATGCAGAATTTAAAAATAAATAATAATTTTCAAAAATAATTAGTCGTATATAATATTTATATTACATGGTTTCCGTGTGAAACGGTACAGTGAAGGAGTGATGGCAAAAGAGTACGTGGCAAAGTATTATTGGGCAGTGTCACGTGGCCCATAAAACCATTGGTTGAAACAGCAGGAAGGTAAGTGTTTCAGAGATCTATATATGATACCATCCACTCTGAACTTCACTGAGATTTGAACACTTTCCATTTCAGGGTTAGGGTTCACCGTTGGAACATGGGAGAACGCAAGCGAATCCCTCTCCGGATATTTGCGCTGTTCCTCTTCGTTTCTGCCTCTTCTTTTCAGCTTCTCCGCGCATCCCATGACTCTGACGACGCGGTAATTCTTCATCTTCTCCTTTTTATATGTTTGATTTTCTTTTTTCTCCTTGTTCCAAAATTGTATCTCCTTTTTCACCTGATTGTGATCAATATGTTGATGCCTTTTAGATCTTCTACGAGTCATTCGACGAAGATTTTGTAGACCGTTGGATCGTGTCTCAGAGAGATGAATACAGTGGTAAGTAACACAAATTCAGTTCATTCTAGGTTATTTCAAATTGTTGAATTGTTTTTCTGATGATGATTGGCGAATATACAGTGTTTTTATTTTTATTGTTTTATTATAAAATGTTTGTTCAATGCTGCTAGTTTTAAATTTTAATCTATCTACTTACTCACAGATAAGAATGTCACTAAATATATCACACATATGACCGCAATCTAAATTTATTGACATAATTGGACGAATTCAGCGATGATCTTTCTATATCTAAGAACAAATTCTGTAAAATATAGTAACGGAAGGGTCTGCCAATGGCTTAGTAACAGATTTTTTTTAAGTTAACAATCTAGTGATAGGGATATTTGTTTGTTGAGAGTGAGAGGATTAATGATCATACAATCATAACGGTTAGTACTAACAGCCACTCATAGTCACACATGACGATTTATAAAGGTGACATGATTTTTGTGTTGACTGGTGATATTTTGCCAGAACCATACTACCCTTTAAACAACTCACTTTTATTAATTTAATAAAAATAAAAATAAAGTAAAATTATTATTATAATATTAAAAGAGAGTTGATTATAAGAATTTTATTAATTTAATAAAAATAAAAATAAAGTAAAATTATTATTATAAAATTAAAAGAGAGTTGATTATAAGAGTTGTATGGATTTGGGTTTTCAAAGTATCATTTTCCTTTTGTGTTTAATTCATATAATTTCTGTTAGGATTTAATCATAAATATTTTGTTGTAATGTGGAGAAAAATAATTGTTAGCGTGAGTCATACACCTAATGCAAATTATCCCACCCCACTCCTCTTGTAGTGTGGCTTGATAGATGATATCTTGCGAAATATGATATAATATCTGAAATGTCGTTTTGATTCTAGGTGTATGGAAACATGCCAAGAGTGAAGGACATGATGATTATGGTCTTCTTGTCAGTGAGAAAGCAAGGAAATATGCTATAGTAAAGGAACTTGATGAGGCAGTAAGTCTCAAGGATGGAACTGTTCTCCAGTTTGAAACTCGGCTTCAGAATGGCCTTGAATGTGGTGGAGCATATCTAAAATATCTCCGACCACAGGATGCTGGATGGAAACCTAAGGAATTTGACAACGAATCTCCCTATTCTATCATGTTTGGTCCTGATAAGTGTGGTGCGACAAACAAAGTACACTTCATTTTCAAACACAAGAATCCCAAGAGTGGGGAGTACGTTGAACATCATCTTAAGCATCCACCTTCTGTCCCTTCTGATAAATTATCTCATGTGTACACCGCTATTTTGAAGCCTGACAATGAGGTGCAAATTTTGATTGATGGGGAACAGAAGAAGAAGGCCAACTTCTTAAGTGCTGATGATTTTGAACCTCCTCTTATCCCTCCCAAGACAATCCCAGATCCCGATGATAAGAAGCCTGAGGACTGGGATGAGAGAGAGAAAATTCCTGACCCAAGTGCTGTAAAGCCAGATGACTGGGATGAGGATGCACCTGTGGAAATTCTTGATGAAGAAGCTGAAAAACCTGAAGGATGGTTAGACGATGAACCTGAGGAGATAGATGATCCAGAGGCAACAAAGCCAGAGGATTGGGACGATGAGGAGGATGGTGAATGGGAAGCCCCAAAGATTGATAACCCAAAGTGTGAAGCAGCCTCTGGTTGTGGTGAGTGGAAGAGGCCAATGAAGAGGAATCCGGCTTATAAAGGAAAATGGCATGCCCCACTTATTGAAAATCCTGCCTATAAGGGCATATGGAAGCCTCGGGATATTCCAAACCCTGCATATTTTGAACTTAAAAAGCCTGATTTTGAGCCAATCGCTGCTATTGGTATTGAGATTTGGACAATGCAAGAGGGCATATTGTTTGACAACATCTTGATAGCTAAAGATGATAAAATTGCCGAATCATATCGTGAAACTACATGGAAACCCAAGTTTTCAGTTGAGAAAGAAAAACAGAAGGAAGAGGAATCGGAATCTGGATCAAATGGTCTTGCAGGATTCCAGGTAAAATATCACTTCTCATCGTTAGTCTACTTCACACTTTCATCTCATTAATTTTTCCTCCAGTACTGCCCTCATGCAAAATTCTACGTTTTTTCCTTGCAGAAGAAGGTATTTGACCTGTTGTACAAGATCGCAGACATTCCCTTCCTGAGTGCGTATAAGCTTAAAATCCATGTAAGTAACAGAACAAATGTGTCTTCTTTTGGAATAGCGTCTTCTTGGAAAATGATTTAGATTCTATCTATCCTTTTCTCCAGAATCTCATCGAGAAGGGTCAGGAGCATCCAAATATCACTGTTGGAATTCTAGTAGCCCTTATTGTTGTCATCGTGTCAATTTTCTTCAGTATCATATTTGGTGGCAAGAAGAAGCCCGTAAGTAGTGAAACATTGCTCACTTATATTCTTTTATGTTTCTTTACCTGGGAATTTGTTTGTGACGGACCATATGTTAATATCTGGACAATGTCTTCTTTTGTGCAGACAAGGGTGGAGAAGACAAATGTAGAACCGGCGGAAACTGCTACTAACCAAAGGAGTGGTGAGAATGAAGAAAACAAAGAGAAGGAAGAATCATCGTCTGCCCCGCCACGTCGGAGGCCAACGAGGAGAGAGAATTAGATATGATTGAATTATTTGTGCCGCGTTTTTTTTTTTTTTTTGAGACTTTGAGTTGTATTTGAAATTTGAGGAGGCTGTACAATTACAATTATCTTTTCTTTATATTTTTAGTAATGTAGCAAAAAACCATTTTCTCTTCAATTTTAGATAAAGAATATAATTTTCTCAGTCTGCAGAATCTGCACACATCAAATGTCTTAAAAATCTTTATGTCATTATAAATTAATAGAAAAACTTTTTTTTTATATCCAAAACTCAATTTACTCTTGAGGAATTATTATTATTATCACTGAAATATTTCCAATTCATTGTATTTTTTCCCCGTTAACTAATCATGAGAGAAATGTTCCAATTTAAGTAAATGAATTCATTTTTTTATTTCATCAACTAATTGAATAGCATATTCTGAATAAACATTTTTTTTTAGAAAGCAAATAATAAGAACAACTCTCAAATATTGATTTGATATTGAAAACAAAATAAAAATGTTCAAAATACTAGCAATTTAAAATTAAAATTACATCAAAACCTTAAAACATAACATAATTAATTAAAGCGAATAACTAATAAAATATAAATTCTCTCTTTCAAGTTTTGTAATTATATACATGCGTAGTTATCTTCTTTCACTGTCATATAGGGGTAACATATATAAGATCAGATCAAATCCATCTTTTTTATTTTAAAATTGATTAATAATATATTTATTATTTATCAAAATCCAATATATTCTCCTTTATTAATGTTTAAAATTGATAGGAATTTTATTAAGTAGAGATTGAATTTGATTTTTCCTTATATATTTTATGAATGAAAATTAATTAATATTTTTTTATTCAAAATATAGAACATAGTTTATCTTATTTATACATTTTACTATTCTTCTTATTAGAAAAAAATTATTTTTAAAAAATTATATATATATATATATATATATATATATATATATATATATTATAGATATACATTGATTAGATTAATTAAATATTCGGAGTTCGTTAGATACTTCTAGTATTAGATTATTTAATTTAAAGAATCATTTTAGAAAATTATATCAATTTAGTTTTATCTATAATTTTAAATATATATATATATATATATATATATATATAATTAATTTTAATTTCATATATACATTATAATATATAATTATGTATTTTAATAAAAAATTATTTTTAATATTTTTTAAATATAATAATAATTATTATTATTATTATTATTATTATTATTATTATTATTATTAAAACAGGTTGATCTTTTAAGTCTATGGATATTTTGGCCTAAATTGACTAAACCCATTTATGTTATAAGTTAAACAGGTTATATAAAAATAGTTTAATTCAATTTATATAATAATTTTATTTAACTTAATAAATCTTATTTTTTCAATTCTTCATCTGAATAACACCTCTAAATACTTCAGGTCTAACTAGTCTTGAAATTATGTAGTTAGACCTATAAATTGTTAATCTAATTTTACATTTGTCGTCGTAAATATGTTTAAAAGTTTGTCCTTGAAATCTTGATGTTGTTGGTCCATCTGGTTTCAATCTTTTTAAATATGAGTAAAACACTACACCTATGACTAGATATTTGGAAGAAAATATTTTCAAATTTAAAGCCATACTTAATATTTAATACAAATTAAATCAACCTACTACCTCTTCATTAAAAGTTAAATATTTCCATGAAAGTCATGGCATAAAAAAAATATGTTAATTATAGTAAAAGTTGAAATTTAATAAATAATTAAGTTAAATTACAATTAAATTTAATTATAAAAATTAACTAAAAGTCTAGGTATTTAAAAGAGTAAATATATATATATATATATATATATATATATAATAACACGTTAATTATTATAATGATTTGTAAGTTAAGATTTGTAATAATAAATGTTTTTTTTTATTGACATGTTTTTGCAAATTAATTGGTAATTAGTATTCTAAAAGATCATTAATGAATTGTCACATATTTTTATTGATGAGATTGATTTATTAAAAATGGTGATTTAGTAAGTTATAAGATTATGAATTAACATCACTTAATCATGTAACAACTTAGGAGGTTGTAACACTTGACAATAAGTTACTACTCATTGATAAATTGTTTTTTATGTATTTATGAAAATAATTCAAAAACATGAATGAAAGTTGTTATTTATGTTATGAAACTAATTATAGTATATATGTATTATATATTGATGCACAGAGAGGATTCATTACTCATCCAACAAGAGAGATAGTCGTAATTATCAATTTTGAGTACCTTTTATAATAATCTTTATTGAACATGATAGAGTCTTTCGTACATAAAAACATTGAACATTTTTATTTTTACACATAAGTTGTTTTGATACTTATCAATGCATATACCTTTTAAAACAATTAAAACAAAAAAAGTAGTGAGTAACAATTAAAATTTATAGCATGACAATATTAACGCTAATCTCAAAATATATAACTGCAACAAGAGTTATTACGATGTTCATTGATTGCTTAATCAATTGGTTAAACCATTACATTTTCATGACAATCAATTTAATTTATTTAAACTTTGAAGTTTCCTAATACATAAATTATTAGTTTGCAGATAAAATAGATAAAAGTAAGTTAGATATTAAAACTAAGCTGAGATGATTAATGATTATCTATTTCAGTGACTAAATTTATTTGTTTTTTGTAAAAAAATATTTTTTTTCCATCGCTAATTTGATGAGCTAAGTTGAAACAAATAGTACAAATTCATTTGCTAAATATTCAATTTATTTAAAACATATATTTTTTTAATAGTTAATGTATTTACTTTTTAGCAACAAAAATATTGATTGATATTATTTTTTAAACAATAATATTATTTTAATTTGTTTATTATTTAAAATGTTGGTGTGCTTACAATTACAAAAAAAAAAAATTAACGATAATGATAAATTACATTACATAATATAGTAAAAAAGTATAATAAACTTTAAAATACAATATGTTATGATCAAACATAAAATACCATAACGTAAGCAAAGATACTAAAATAATTTTAAAAGATTATTTAATTTAAAATCATTATATAATTAAACATATAATTAATGATCTACATCTATTATAATTAATTATAAGATGTGTGATATGTATAGGGTTTAAAATAAAATTCTTGAAGTGAAAATATTGTAAAATAAGTTGTATTTACTCATCTTGTCGACATGTGCATTTAGTTTATGATTTATAAATTTTTATCAACTGCTCCAATTTTTTTTAAAATGATTTGTCTTTAGCATCCTTTATTCATTAGTAAGTTCAACATTTAGTATTTGCATACTCTCACACATTTTCTCAATTTACAACTACTAGAGTTTGGATAAAAAAAATGTTTAGAATTATTAAATTTTTTGCTCAATATACTAACTTCATGCACATTCTAGTATAATATTTTCACCTCCAATAACATTAAAATACATTTCACTGTCATCTTTATGAAAATGTTAGTGTTTTTTTTTTTTTATGTTACATTTCTCCTAAAAATGAAGTCAAACATAATTTTTTTCAGAGTAAACATATAACATATATTAAATTATAATTGTAAAGTTAAAGGTTAAATATATAACATGATCATGTGTCAAAGTTTCTTCACCCACATATATTAAAACCCATGTCAAAATCTAGTATCTTAGATATATAATATATTATGTTTAAATGCAAAATTACTATTTCTCAAATTTAGGTGTAATTGATATGAACCACACATTAGGTTAAAACACCATTCTCAAACTCTTGTTTTGTATCTACCCAATTCTTTCATTAAAGTTTATTGTTTTTTTTTTTTCAAGAAATTAAGTTTATAATGTAAGGATGGTCTCAAAAACCAAGAAAAACATGTTGAAGTTTGAGAATAAGTGAAATTCTATTTTGTGCTTATAAATTAGTTTATAAAACTAAAATATATTTAATTAATTACTTTTTATTTTAGAAATATTGCAGAAAAACTATATGAAGAATTTTTTTTTCTATTATTTTATTACTTAAGAAATTAAAATGTTCCTCATTTTCTCATTAACATGTAGTTTTACATTCTTTTAATATTGTCATCATAAGTCAATAATATAAATATAAAAAAAACTCATAATAAATATATAGATAATTAAATATAAGATTAATCATGTTATTATATATTGAATGATATGTTTAATAATATATATATATATATATATATATATATATATATATATATATTACTTAATTTCATAGGCATAATAATAAATGTGATATTTAATCACATTATTAGGGCAATAATTAATGTAAATATGACAAAATTGATAATATTCAGTATATAAAAAATTAAGTGTGAGATTAATCACTATTATTATCCTTAAGTGAAACTTTTATATACATTCATGTGTAAGTTCTACTAAGTTCATATAAATAATTAATATATATATATATATATATATATATTATTAATAGTTATATAGTAAATTAATAGTTATATAGAACAATTGTGTAAAAGCATAACAATACCATATATAAAAGTATGAGAGGGACACTACATTATTAGTCCTGTACACAATTGTGTAAAAGATAATGTTGTGAACACTAGCAACCAAACTCAAAATATCTGCAATGAAATATTAATAATCATTATTAATCCTATACACATTTTGGATATTCTTGTGTAATATAATTATTTATAAAAATAAAAAATATATTTTAAAATTAATTTAAAATCATGTTTAATTGAAACTCTTATTGAACATAGTTTCCTCCCATTCTTTTAACTTGATCATATACTTAAAAGGAATAATTTTTGAAAAAAATATATAATGAATTTTTCTTTAATTGTTTTTTTCATATTTATTATTTTGAATTAATAAATAATATTTTTTATTTTTAAACAAAAAAATTTACATTTTAAAAAATATATCCAAAGATAATTTTAATATTATACTACAAAATTAATTGCATATACTTATATATCTTTTGTTTATTTTTATTAAATTAAATAACCTT